CCCCAAAACCCCAAAACCCCAAAACCCCTTTAGTCATATTAATTAAAAATTAAGGAAATTAATTAATACAGGTACAGAAATAATTATATTTAAATTTTGGCTAAAATATAATCAAATTTAATTGGGTTATGGCTTGTGAAATTCTTAGCTTTTGATGAATCTTTGATTTTATTTTCTTCTATCCCTTTTATGCATATCTATTAGTTCTTCTGCTGGTATTATTTTGACTAAAACTCTAGTTCTAAAAACCTCTTTCTTGAGATAAGCTATCATCTTTCCTAAAGAAAATATTAAACTTCCCAGCAGAAAAATAAGGAAAAAGCAGAAAACTATAACGAATATCTATATTTGATGATCCATGAAATTCTATAAAGATTTCTCAAATTTTTGACTCAAGTCATTAGCTGCTGGTAAAATAAACTTCAATATCATGTATATATAATCCATTGTAAGTTTATCATAGGAATGCTCATCCAAAAATTAGATATTTCTCTTCCAAGGCTTTAACTCAAAAGAATCAAATATTATTAGCTCCGAGTATATATAGTAGTATAAAGCATTAAATGTATTTGCTAGTCCTAAATTAAGCAATCCTTTCCTAAAAGTCGAGCACTCTTGCAGAAGGGATTAGTCTTTGCTAAAGACTGCCTAGCAAAACTTATCTGAGTTGATTATTTTTATTTAATTAGTAATTTCTTTTAATTGTACCGGCACAGACGTCTAATAACTTTGAAGCTTCTATTCAAAAACCTAGCAAGCATTTTAAGCATGATTTGCTACAGTTTCATTAGAATACCCAATCCTAATGGTTTAGTTTTAAGTATATGTTTCTATTAAGAATTGATATATATTTGAAATGCATGGAGCCCTTCTATTTGCAGTTTTGAGGTAATTAAAACTATCTTTTGCTGAGCTGAATACCATTGATGAGATAAAGTAAAATGACAGATAGAAGCCAAGAATGATTGTTGCGAAGGAGAATATCAGAAATATTTTCTTGATTTTTTTGACTCTGTAGATAGATTTCAATTGATACTTTTAAAATCTTCTCTAAAGCTTGGTCTCTGCTAAGTTTTGCTCGGTATTTTGATTAGCTGTTTAAATTTATTGTTAACTTTAATTATTCTAATTAATCAGCATTCCTGAAAATGTAAAGTTATCTCTTCTCACACCCATTTAGTCTGAGGCTGCTTCTTTTGATTCAGTTGGGGAATCTTCAGGAAGTTCTTTTATTTATTTGATGATATTAGCTGTATGGATAATAAATTTATTGCTAAGTGAAGAAAATAGCGGAGGAGTTAATTAATTCTTGATAGTTTTAGGAGAAGGGCGGCCATTCCTCTTTTATAGGTCTAATTATATTATATTCATATCATTGTCACCTAATCTGTATGATGAATTAACCTCATTAAGAGATCTAAAATTTGTTTCGTAATTTTGATAATCAGAAGGTTTCTATTTATCTTTAAACTCCTGGTTTGATTGAGATAAAAATTTATCAATTCTCGCAATAACATCATTCTTTGTATCAGTTGAGATATTCATCCATTGTTTCACAATCTCTTCCTATTCAATATCAAGTGTAAAAGTAACAGGTACAAGAGCAATGGATGAAATGAAAGTAACAGCTACACATGACATTGTGATAATCAATACTGTCATATCATGAATATCTTCCTTTGATTACGACTATTCCACAAATAAATCTGACATCTGCAATGAAAATGACCTCAAATCATACATTCCATTAATAATTATGAAATATGCATTTCTCTAGTTTAAAGTTGGAGAAGTTTAGGCATCTTTTATTTTATAATTTTTCATCTCATTTATAAAACTCTATTTATCAATAGTTATGAAACTCTACATTTTAGTCATATATTATTGAATTGCAATAGTGAATTTTTTCTTTGTCCAGAATATTTTACCATCTGCTTGCATTTCCTAAATCATTACATTATCTTTAGTCATAAAATCAACCAGCTCATTTTCTACATAGTTTTTGTCATCTAATACAATATAGATTTATTTTTGGAGTTACTTATATTGATCTTCTAATAGAGATTGCAAATAATTAAAATCAAATCGATCTGATACGTTCTAATCCCTTTGATATAGCAATAAAATTCTAAAAACGAGTCTAGAATAAGCTAATATTCCACCTAAGCTAATTGATGCCTCGACAATGGCTGAATCTTCAATGAATTGCTTATTTTACACTTAAGTAACACCAAGAACTGAGAATGAAGTTCCAATCAGAATACAAAAAAATATGACGATTGCTTTCCTGAGATTTGATAATGATTTCGGTGTTTAATTAAAATCAATTGCTCCTTTGAAATTTAGAACTTAATTTGATTTACTAGATCCTGATTCAGAGCTAGGATTGTTGTTATCTATAATAATTTAATCCAATTCGTTAAACTCCTGGGATAATTAATTTTGCCTCTTGCTTAATCCTTTTGTATCCATAGATTTCATCATATAAACGAGATCTCTCTCATCTTTGGATGATTCTATTTCAAAGAATACATACTCTCTAAATCTAACTTTGTTAGGTAGTCTGTACTCATTCATCAAAACCATTGCCTATAAATCTTTAGCTTTACTACTAGGATCCTTTAACTTATGATCAGAGAGCTCCGAGAGCATCTAAAGTTTAACTCCTTATTTTAATTACTTTTTAGTGGTTGATGGGTTAATTTAAATTATTTCCCTTATGTTAATCTTTGAATCATCGATAGCAAATTGATCCTTTGAAAGGAATCTGTCCATGAAGTTGTCACAAACATTTTCTGCATATCCCTCTTCATCTGTAATCACTACAAAAGCTTCATTTGATTTGCAATTCATGTTTTCAGTTTGAATCTCAATATTAAACGTTACGAATCCTACTATTATGAGTCCATGCTAATCGGAAACGCATGTTTAAATATCTATCCTACAAGGAATAATGCACTAATTTTCTTTTTTTATCCAGACTCTTGGCAATACAGAAGATAAGTGTCTACCATGATTTTCTGTAAGAAATTTTTGAAGAATTTGATCATGGTATTGAGCCACTACTTTAGGCATGAGATAGTTAATGTTTTTCCCAATAATGGTTTATTGAGGAATGCCTGTATATTAGCAAATAACTTCATTTACTAAAACAACTTTGTTTCTTTTTTATTGGGAGCCGGATACCAACACTATACCTACTTATTCTTGATTTTTAATGTAAATAGACTATCTTGTTATCATCATTTTTTACTGCAAGTTTTTAATTATATTCTAGAGATTCATTCCTTCTATTTCAAAATTCATTACATCGATATTAAAGTTCATATGAAGTTAAACTACTTCTTTGAAATCAGGCTTCATTACATAAATACTATCATATAATTTCTTTGTTTACAAATAAGAATCAACGATTTTCTACCCCAAATGCAAGAGCGTGCCAATTTCATAATCTGATTTAGTAAGAGTTCTCCAAAATCTTTCAACCAAGATAGTGGTATCTTAAACAACTTTTTTGTATTCCTAGAATTCTCTTTCTAAATTTATTGATTTGTCTATATCAAACATATCCTTTCTGATAGCTCTCTCATGATCTTTGATCATAATTTATGCCAAATTTTTCAAGTAGAAGTAATTAAATTTCTCCTCAGATGATTGATTCTTTGATTTTAATTTAAGTAGCTTGTAATAGGACGAGTAAAGCTTGTTAAAAATAACTAGATTAATATATATTTCGAGATACCGAGTGGTCTTATTTAGACTTCCTAATTTTGATTTAGAAAGGAGAAGTTTTAACAGAATTAAGTTTCTTTATGTATTTCTATCTTGGTGATGCTATTCATCAAAATTATCATCAAGATCAATCTTCAAAGTCTGCTAACTATTCTCGTCAGATCTTAACGTACTATTCATTTCAACGTGCTTTTTGTGACCAAAATTGAATAATTAATATTCTTGATCTAATTCTGATTTTTTACAGATGCATCTTGAGTTTTAGCAAGTCACAATGTGCTTGATATACATATTTTATAATCGAATCTCATTTTAAGGATCTTTTTCTCTGATAAGTTTTTCAAATATTATAATTTTTGAATTTGGAATTGCAGAAGTGATGTCAGTCTGTAAATCAAAAAAGCTCTTTGTCTAGTTTCGTATTTTGAATATCAGAGCAAGAGATTAAATCAAAATAGCAAAAATTATAATTATACAGAATGAGATATCTGATATCTAACTTATCAAATCAATTGTTATACCAAATATACAAAGATTCTAAATTATTACATCCTTAATTAAATGAGTAGTATCTACCCAAAATGAATAGTATTTAATAGTAGTGTAAGAATACCAAATTGAAAACATCGACAGAATAGTAATAGGGATGTTTAGAATATAAAATTGAAATCAGTCTTAAATTTCATGCTAAAAAACCATTAGAGAAACACTAGTCATTATCATTAATTAGTTTAGTAATTCATATCGGGATTTTATCTAAGCCCAAGGAATATCTTTCTCAGGAAAAATACAGTTTGTTAATCTTTGCTACAACAGAATTATCATAAAAGATAACGCAGAACCAAATGCGGTGAAAATTAAGCGTAATTAATCAGTTTTTTAAAGGCATTTCGCAGTGAAAAAATAGCATTTTATCGCTGTAAGCTAAATACCAAAAATGTAGTTTTATATGAATCTTCCTATAATTATGATTGCTAATGCTAAAAAGGAAAAACATGTAATTTAACCATTATTCTTAGATATTTTGCTATTCGAGGTATTTCTGCTTGAAAAGCAGCTTAAACTACATCCAAATAAAATAATTAATGCTAGAGAAAAAGCGTTAAGAGTGTCAGTAATGAATTAGAAATCATGTGATTAACTAATTTTCTCAAAAAGGTTTATTTCAATTAAGTAGGATTTTTTAGCTTCTGATTTGAAGTTTACAATCTTTTCAAGAGGAATAATTGATAGTAGAATCAAATCAAATATGATCATTGAGGAGTATAATCTTTAAGACATTCGAGCATTAAACATTAGCTCATGCATGAATATCTGGAACTTCTTACTAAATTTCTAAAATTCACTTATATTCTTCTTGCGTGAAGGAATAGACATCTTTCTAATTAAAAAGTTTTAAATTTATGAAATTAATGATTTAAAATTTATGAGTTAATACATTATTATTTATTCCCTTTAAAAAATATTATCTTGATACAACATTTATATTGGGAGTCAATTCTTTTCTTTTTTGCTAAGCTTTAGAGTTTGATTGATTCTTTTTAGTTCTGAAGTCGGTATGATTTTTATAAGGATCCTGCTTCTAAAGACAACTCTTTTTAGGATTCTAATCACCACTTTCAATGCAATTATGAGACTAACCATAAGAAATACGATGAAGACGCTAAAGATAATGATGTACTGTTGCATCTTGAAATTGAGATATTCTGTTATTGAATCATCAATCATTAGGCGTATTTTATCAGTAATCGGAATCAGAAAATCCAATACTAATTTCATGTAGCTATAAAGTACGTCATTAAATTCTAATGAGTCAAGAAATTGTTAATCTCTTATTGCAGCTCTTCTTGCTTGAAAACTAATCAAATCATGTGTAATAAACAAGTAACTGCTCTATATTGCACTTCTCGTTCCACTCATCAGAATTCCATTCATAAATTTTTAGCAATTCTATATTACAGTTTTATCTTTGAAGGTCATTTCACAAGCATACATATCATCCATTCTTATTAAACTATTCTAAATATTTGAGAATTGAGAAGGAGGTTGCTTAACATAGTCAAGATATTTAGATTCAAATCCTGAGCAATCTGCTCTCACATAGTCGTCTAATCTCTGATTACTATATCCTAAAATCTAGGTCTTATTTTCTGTAAATGTTTCAATAAGTACATTAAATGAAGTGGAAAGACAAGGACCTCTTCTGCTTGTTACCTTTTGAAAGCCAAAAGATTCAGCTGACTAAGAAAATATGTTTGCGCAAATAAAGTATGAACCCAAATAAAAACCTATTATGATTGTTGAAAAGCCTAAAATAATCAAAGATTTCTTTGTTTTTTCATAAAAAAACAGATTATCAAGCTATTTTTGTAAATCTTCTCCTGACTATTCTGATTTTTATTATACCATGTCATCTATAGTTTCATTTAAGTAGGTAGTTTTATCATTAAGAGTACTTGCATATACAGAGAGATCTAACTTGCTACTTTTTTGGATAGTATTCATAGTATTAGGAATGGAATCTTGGTATGACCTGCTTACATCATTTGCATCATTCATCATTTCATCTAATGGTTGTAAGCCTCGATTATTCATCATGATTCTATTAACCACAGCAGCCAGCTATTTCTTGTTTTTCAGGATGTTGTTATTCATTATTTCTTCGTCATCATTGTCAAATTAATCAATTATCCCAGAGCTACCTCTCTAATTATGTTCGAATCTATGTTAAGATAACTTAGACCTCATATGATTATTGTTTTAGTTAAACACCTAAAGAGAACTTGGTCTAGTTTTTGGTTGATTAAGTGACCGAGCCATTATCACACTTTGATCAAGGATCTCTTTAGTCTTTGGTTTTACACCCCTAAGATTCATTTTATCCATATTTTCACTCTGGAAAAATTTCACAAATTCAGATATATTATTCAATACTTCTTCTTTAGTTTCATCTCTGATAATCATCCAAAATGAGACTATTTCCTTTTCATCATTATCTAAAGCGAATGTAACTGGTATAAATATAAGAGATATGATAAGCGTGACTCCGATGCAGCTGACAGAAATTATAAGCACTGTCATATTATAATTAGCTTCTTTACTTTAACCTTCTTCCATATACAAATCTGCAAGCAGCAAGCAAAAGTTTCTAATTTCAGTATTTCCATTGTGAATTAAAAACCAAACATTTTATCTATAAATAGTTAAATTACTCATCTATGGCAGAAGTTTGAAAGTTCCTATTCGCTCTTTAAATAATTACTAATCCATATCCATAAAATTTTCAATCTTGGTTAAATATTACTGTATTCCTATTGTAAAGGTAGTGTTATAAGTTGTGATCTTCCCATCTTATTGAATTTCAGATAATTGCAATGCATTCTATCTCATATAGTAGTTTAGCTATGAGCTATCCTTGTATTTATCACTTGACATATATTAGGCATATAGCTTAATCTGATAGTAATAAGTCTGCATCATTTGCTGTAACTCATGAAAGCTATAGCTTTATATATCTTCATCAATGTAATTAGTTTATACTAATAATCTAAATGTTAGTCTCATATTAGCTAGCTAACCTACTAAGTAAATGCTCCTTTGGACCTAATCTTGATCTGCTTTGAATTAATCATTAGAAACAATAGAAACTGCAAGCATCGCAAATGATGTAGCTGCAAGAGTCATAAAGAATAGTATAATGGCTCTTCTAACATTCAAGATTGATTAAGGTATTTTTTGAAAATCAATAATTTATTTTGTCTATAGCAGCTCACTAGATTTCAGTGAATTTGAATTAGAGGAAGCTGAACTATCTGATCCATATCCAAAATGAGGGTCAATTTTATCTTCATCAATTGCAAAAGTTTCAGATTCTCCCATTTCATAATCTAGATCTTGAATAGTATGTTTTATCTATTTTATTTCTGATGCTCTTTCTATACTAAAAATGATTTCTTTTATTATAACACCTTCAGAGAGTAAATGTGTTCCCTATGTGATTATAACATCAACCTTTTTTTGATTTAATTCACTCTAAGGGAGGAATTAACTTGCAAAAGTAAATATCATTTGAGTTTTTACCCCATTTCTGAGATCGTCTTCCTTAAAAGTTTTCAAATTATGAAACATATCATCAATGTTGATCTTAATATCAGAAATATATGAGTTAGACCCCATAAAATCATTTGCGAAATTGAAAGAGCTACATAAGATAAAACCTTCCTCATCTGTAATCAAGAAATAAGAATCTTCGACTTTACAATGAAAATTTTTCTTCTTAATTTAAACTATGGGGTCTATAAATGCAACTAAGAGAAGACCCTTTTTCTGAGAGATACAAGCATTGATTGATACTTATACAGGCTCAATATGCCCCTCACAAGTTTTAATCCAAACTCTCTTAAGCTTTGTATCAATGGCTTGTTATTCATTAAAGATAAAGTTTTTAATTAGAGTTTCATGTACGTTCGCTATTACTTAAGGAATAAGCATATTTAATTCTTTTTTATGAATTTCCTTTTGCTCGTATCCACTTAGATCAGAAATAAATTTGTTCGCTAATATAATCTTCGTCTTTTTGTGAGGACGAAATGCTGCAATTACCATTCCGATCTCATTAGTTTAATGCTGTCCATACTAGTTAAGCTTAGTTATTTTCAATTTTTAATCAAGGTTTTTCAGATAGTTTGCTTGCTAAATTGCTTCAATTTCAAAATTCAAGACACATTAATTAAATTATATTCCTAGTATGACAATTTCTCTGTAGTCTGGTTTTTCCTCTAAAATACATTCATATATCTCTTTTAGCATCAAAAAGTTATCTACAATTAACTTTCCTACATTAATTATTTTCCTCATTTAATAGTCATTTTTCTTAAGATCTTGCCAGAATTTCTCTACTAAGTTAGTAGTTTCATATATTAATCTCTTATACTCTTAGAAATTAGCATCAATGAATAGAGTAGAGTCTACGTCTATTAGTTCTCGTTTTGATTGCTGATCATTTATTCTTGATTTTTGGAATATCAACATATTTAGGTAAGAGTATTGTTTCTTGTTAAAGGCTGAATTTTATTTGTGTTTGAGGGATTACAAGATGTAGAGAGCTTAATACTATTTTTGATATATTTCAGCCAGAACAAATATCTCTAAGAATTTCGTATTTATTTGATAGTTAGCATTATGGAACATGTGAAATAATATCTTGAGTATCAGATCATTCCTTGCTTCAATTTACATTTCATTTCTTGTTTGATTTTGTTTTTTATTAAACTACTTTTGCATTTTCCTGATTTTAAAGAGTTTATCTTCCATTGATTTTTCCACTTTCCTCACAAGACTATCTCTCATATGACTATTTGTTATTACTGTTGTCATCTCTAGATCTGATACTCTATTTGATATTCGCTCTTAGAATATTCTTTATTCTCTTATTGGTAGGCAAGGACATTTAAAATCTTAACACAGGTAGATGTGCTAAAGATATATATACTGTAGTGCAAGATCTTCTCTAGAATTTGGAGGTTTATTTTTGTATTCTAAAAAAGTGTGAATAATTTCCTAATGATGATGTTAATTTTTGATATATTGTCTCAAATTTCTAAAATTCTTCTCAAATTTTTTTCTCTTAATACTGTAAATAGATATTGTAAGGGCTATAGTTAGGATTATAATCATTATACAGTAAATAAAGTCAGTTTTTTCATCACATAATTCGAGAAGTAAGGCATAAAGCAGTGCAGACCAAATGATTGAGTCTCTAATTATAATTGAAATATCTATTTTTGAATTAAATGCAACTCTATTATTAGCAACTAGCCACAATTGTAAAGTTTAAATGACTATTAGAGGAATAATTAATATGTAATAAGAGATCCATTCCAGAAATAAGTCTATCAAACTTAGTTCTAAGACAGAGGTAAACAAAACTATTCTCTTCACTATCTAATAGTTGCTCATTGCTCTTGCCCACGGTATATTTTCTGCAGGGTATATTAAATCTTGAGTTGCATACTAGAAATAGGAAAAACTTGTGGTCAGAAACAAAGCAATTAAATTGATGTAAAATCTGGCTGGAGATGTTTAATTTACGCACTGATCATTCTCAAATGAACATCTAATTGTTGTAAGCTGTATTCCAAGAATGTTAAAAGTTAAGTATCGACCTGTAACTAACATCATGAATGAAACAAAACTCATTCCGAAATTATACTAATCTGCTCGTACTTTAGTAGTTAATCTTTGATCAAACCGAAAAAATTAGATTATTGTAAGTACAAAAATAATTAGCAAGAACACATTTATCACATCTGAAATGTATTCTAAAACTCCATTAGATTCAAGATAATACAGGTAATTCAGCTTTGAATAATTTTCTCTGGAATTGTGAATTTAATGGTTTCTCTCAAAATCAAATATTGATTCGAATGGGATTTCCAGTACAATAACCAGGTCAATTAGCTGAATAAAGCATATGGTCCAGTCCGATACTTTATTACTATTCTGTAGATAGTAGCAAAAGATGTACCATCTCGCTCGCAGTCTTTATCTTAAATTTAGTTTTTGTTAGTTCTAAAAGCTTAAAAATCTCTTTTGTTTCATAATCGAATGCTTATAAATTATTTGGATTTTTAAATTGTTAGAAGACTTGTTATCTATCATAAAAATAATTTAGTGAATAAAAAAGTCTACATCAATTGAATATATGAATCACGCAATAAAATGATAATTTATCAGACAGTTTGCCAATTTACCCTTATTTTAGCTATAAGGGGTTTTGGGGTTTTGGGGTTTTGGGGTTTTGGGG